AGGGTTGCAGGCTCGATCCCCAGTGTGGGAGGCAGCCAATCAATTCTCTCTCATTATTGATGTTTCTATCTCTCTCTCTCCCTCTCCCTTCCTCTCTGAAATCAATAAAAATATATTTAAAAAGCAAAACCAAAAACACGATTACAAAAATGAAAAGGCAAGCCATGCACTAGGAGAAAATATTTGAATAAATATTTTTGATAAATCAATGTCTCCAAAATACATAAAGAACTCCTACAACTCAATAACTCAATTTAAACAGTGGCAAAACAATCAACATTTGAATCTAAAAATCAAAATAAATGAACAAGGAATCTAATGAACAAAATAAACTGATCAATAAAATAGAACCAGAGGCATGGGGACATGGAACAGACTGAAGAATCTCAGAGGGAAGCAGGCAAAGAGGGGCAGGAAGAGATTAACCAAAGAACTTATGAGCATACTAGAGGCCCGGTGCACGAAATTCATGCATTCAGTGGGTTGGGAGGTCCCTCAGCCCGGCCTGTGCCCTCTCGCAGTCCGGGAGCCCTTGGAGGATGTCTGACTGATGGCTTAGGCCCACGGTGGCATCAGTTGGACATCCTTAGTGCTGCCGTGGAGGTGGGAGAGGCTGCCACCACTGCCGCTGCGCTCGCCAGCTGTGAGCCCGGCTTCTGGTTGAGTGGTGCTCCCCCTGTGGGAGTGCACTGACCACCAGGGGGCAGCTCCTGCACTGAACATCTGTCCCCTGGTGGTCAGTGCACATCACAGCGACTGGTTGTTCTGCCACCAACCTGAAACTGACTTTCCGACATCCCTGAAGGGGGTCCCAGATTGCGAGAGGGTGCAGGCCAGGCTGAGGGACCCCACTGGTGCATGAGCAGGGCTGGGGAGGGATGTAGGAGGTTGGCCAGCCTGGGAGGGACCACGGGAGGACTCCAGGGTGTGACCAGCCTATCTTGCTCAGTCCCAATCTGCCAGACACCAGCAGCAAGCTAATCTACCGGTTGGAGCGTCTGCCTCCTGGGGGTCAGTGCACATCATATCAAGCAGTTGAGTTGCCTTAGCATATCATTAGCATATTACGCTTTGATTGGTTGAACGGTCGACTGGATGACCAGACACTTAGCATATTAGGCTTTTATTATATAGGATATGCATTACCTATGGACACGACAATAGGTTGGTGAAGGCCTGGGGTGGGGCAGGAATCGGTGAAGGGGATAATGGGGAGGAGGGAAGGAGTGGACATCTGTAATAACCCTAACAATAAAGATTTTTTTTTAAAAGAAAAAAACAAAAATTGGCAAAACATCTAAACAGGCATTTTGAAAAAAGAAGATATACAAATGACCAAACAACAAATTTAAAAAATGATCAATATTGCCCTGGCTGGTATGGCTCAGTTGGTTGGCCATAATACTGTGCACTGAAAGGTGGCTGGTTTGATTCCCAGTCAGGGCACAAACCCAGGTTGCAGGTTTCATCCCCAGCTGGGGTATGTGTGGGAGGCAGCCATTCAATGTTTCTCTCACATCTCTCTTTCTCTCCCCCCCGCCCCCAAAAAAGAAAACACATTTTAAAAAATGATCAACATCACCAGTTATTAAGAAAATGTAAATCAAAATCACAATGAGATGCCACTATCTAGGTACTGAGTAGCTAAAATTAAGGTTGACAGTGCATTGGTGCGGATGTAGAGCAACTGTAATTCTCCTACATTGCTGGTAGGAATGCAATTTGGAAAATAGTTTGGCAGTTTTGTACAAAGTTTAACACACATTTGCTACACGATACAGCAATTCCACTCCTAGGTATTTACTCAAGAATGAAAAAATATGTCCATACAGCCGAAACCGGTTTGGCTCAGTGGATAGAGCGTCGGCTTGTGGACTGAAAGGTCCCAGGTTCGATCCCGGTCAAGGGCATGTACCTTGGTTGCGGGCACATACCCGGTGGGGAGTGTGCAGGAGGCAGCTGGTCGATGTTTCTCTCTCATCGATGTTTCTAACTCTCTATCTCTCTCCTTTCCTCTCTGTAAAAACTCAATAAAAAATATATATATTAAAAAAAAATAAATAAATAAATAAATAAAATATATTAAAAAAAATATGTCCATACAAATACCTACACTTAAATTCATAATAGTATAAAATTGAAAACTACCCAAATGTGCATTAATAAGTGAATGAATAAACAATTTATATATATATATATACATATTTTCATAGAATGGAATATTACTCAGATATAAAAAAGGAGCATACTGACCAACAACATGGATAAATCTCAAAAGCATTATGTTAGGTGGGAAAAGCTGGGCACAAGAGACTATGTATCACAAGCTTCCGTTTAAATGAAATTCTAGAAAAGGTAAAACTATAGTGACAGAAAGTAGATCAATGGTTGCAGAGGCAGGTGGAAGGGATTAACTACAAAGAGGCTTAAATGTGGTGGTGGTGGTTACACAAGTATAAACATTTGTCAAATGCATCAAGCTGTACATTTACCATTGGTGAGTCTTGTTCTAAATCACATCTCAATAAAACTGGTAAAAAACTGACTCAATGAAGTAACCCGGCTAATGTGGCTCAGGGGCTGAGTGTCGACCTATGAACTAGGAGGTCACAGTTCAATTCCTGGTCAGGACACATGCCCGGATTGTAGGCTCAATCCCCAGTAGGCATGCAGAAGGCAGCCAATCAATGTTTCTCTCTCATCACTGATGTTTCTATCTCTCTCGCCCTCTCTGAAATCAATAAAAATATATTAAAAACAAGAAATAGAAACATTTGAGATCATAAACTTAAATAAATCACAGTAACTTAAAAACAGACCAGTCCCACATAGTTCATTTGCTTATTCACTCACTCCTCAATAGATCGAGTTCCTACAGTATACCAGGCCCTGTTAGACGTGTGGGTAAGGAAGGCAGCAGACAGAACAGGCCACGTCCTTGCTCTCTTGGAGGTTATGGTTAGGGAGGAAGAAGGCACACACGAAAACCGAAAACCGATGCCAGTGGTGGGTCCTATGGGGGAAAGGGGAGTGTGGGCTGGGGAGCTGAGGGGATGCTGCTGTGGTTACATTCGAAGAAAGACCAGATGGAAGTGGGGGACAGGCCTGTCCCTGGGAACAATAAATGCACGGATGCTGAGGAGGGGTATTTGGGAGTTTTCAAGGTATAGTCAGTGAACCAGTGTGGTTTCAGAAAAAATCAGGGAGGGGAGAGCAGCAAAGTGGGGGCCAGAGCACGTGCTGAGGGCCAGCACATAAAGGATCCTGGATCCCATTCTCAGTGAAATGGAAGCCATGGACCTAAGCAGAGAAGCAACACAGCCTGACTTTGTTTAAAAGAATCTTGCTGTTGGGGGAAGGGAGGGGGAGGGGAGGGGGAGGAGTCAAAGGCGTAAAAAGGGACACCTGTAATACTCTCAACAATAAAAACAAAGCTTTTAAAAAATAAAAATAAAAGAATCTTGCTGGCAGCCGTGCATAGAAGGTTGGGAAACTTCCGGAAAGGGCTAGATGGTAAATGCTTTAGTTTGTAAACCCTATGGTCTGTGGAGAATACTCAACCCTGCTGTTACTGCAAGAAAACAGCCATGAATAATATGTAAATGAAGGAGGATTAGCTGTGTTTCACCAAAACTTTACAAAAACAGGCAGTGGGCTGGATTTCACCTTGTAGTGAAATCCTGGACTAGACTATAGGGGGCGAAGGGTTAAGGCAGGTAGGCCAGTGAGGAGTCCCTGCAATAAAACTGAGCAGGAAGAGATGGTCCCCTGCACCAGGTGTAGCAGGGGGGTGGGATGTGGTCAGACTGGGGAAGGTGGAGCCAACAGGATTTGCTGGTGGATCAGACTGAGGAACTGTGGATCCGGTTG